GCCCAAGCAGGCCCCCCCCCCCCCGCCCCAGAAAGAGGCAGAGTTTCATAGCGTCCTGACTTGACCATGCCCCGACCCCAGAGTAGATGTGGGTGCGTGTGCCGGGGGCGTGCGGGGGCAGGGAGGGCTCTTCGGGGATTTGCACGAAGGGCTGGGGTGGCCTGCCGGGGTAGCGGACGAAGAGCAGGCCTCTGAGTGCTGTGGGGGGCCCTCCCCCCACTTGCCCATCCTGGGTACCTTGCCGTGGCGGCCTTACCAAGGCCTGGTGGACGGCAGAGGGCAGCTCTGAAGCGAGAGGGACCCTGGCTGTGGGGACGGAAGCAGAGCAGCAGCTGCACGCAGGCCGCACCCCTGTCCTGGGCTGAGGGTTGGTACGGCCGTCTCCTGAGCCTGCCCAGGGCCGTCGCCTGCCAAGCTGTCCAGTGTTCTAAGGACACATTCGCACCTGGAGCCTTGGGGAGACGGCAGGGCGCAAGGATTGGGGTCCACGATCATGGTCAGATGCGAGCCCGGCCAGCTGGCCTGGGAGCAGAGGCCCGGGCCGGGTGGCCACAAGGACAGCCCGCTGGGCCCAGGGCTGCGGCAGGCGTGCGGGTGCCCGCTGTCTCAGCCTTAGCCCCGCCTGCGCTGGGCTCCCCAGAGCGCTGACGTCCTGCCTCTCAGAGGCCCAATGGCCCAGGCCTTGCACATCCCTGGACCCGCCGTGATACGCTGTGCTCTCCCTTAGGGCTTGGCCTTGGTGGGGCTGCAGTGCTCATGGCTGCAGCCAGCGCGACCCCTCCCGGCTCCCTGGACCTGCTGCAGCCTGGCTTCTCCAAGACCCTCCTGGGGACCAAGCTAGAGGACAAGTACCTGTGCTCGGCCTGCAGGAACGTCCTGCGCAGGCCCTTCCAGGCTCAGTGTGGCCACCGCTACTGTTCCTTCTGCCTGAGCAGCATCCTGAGGTAGGGGCGCCGGGAGCTGCCAGGAGCGGACGCTGATGCCCGCGTGGCCCAGGGCTGCTTTGGTGTGGGGTGAAGTCAGGCATCTCCTTGGAGTCGGTTTTCCCTGCTTCTCCTTCTCTCTGGTGGGAAGCGGACACTTTAAAATTGCCTGGAGGCTCCCGCTCCCTTTGCGCTGGGCGCCCAGTCCCTGCGGGGTTGGGAGGTGGGGCCTCCAGTCCGTCAGCAGGAGGACTGCAGCCCCTGGTCCTGGCATCTGTCTGCGCGGGTCGCGTTCAGACGGGCCGGGGTTTGGGGCTGGGCCCCGAGTGTCTTGCACGGTGCGTCGTGTCTGCTGGCCACCCCGGTGGCTGACAGAAGCTCCAGAGCCTGAGCCGTGGCGTGGGCCTGTGTTGGTGAGGCCGCGGGCCTCCCACCCTCCACGGCGGGTTTCACAGTGCGGCCTCCCTGTCTTCCCACCAGCTCCGGGCCCCAGAACTGTGCCGCCTGCGTGAACGAGGGCATTTATGAGGAAGGCGTCTCTATCCTGGAGAGCAGCTCGGTGAGTGAGCCGTCCACGCTGACGGTGTCGAGGGGAGAGGGAACCTGGGAACAGCCGTGGGAGAGGTGCCCTGGTCCCGAGCCTCCCCGCAAGGCTTGTGGTGTGGGGCGCCAGGCGGGTGGGTGTCTGGGAGGGGGCTTACCCGAGGTACGCTCTCTCCCCAGGCTTTCCCGGACAATGCTGCCCGCAGGGAGGTAGAGAGCCTGCCGGCTGTCTGTTCCAGCGAGGGCTGCACCTGGAAGGGGACCCTGAAGGAGTACGAGGTAGGGGCTGCCCTGCGCTGGCTGAAGCCCCTCCCGCAGAGCAGCTTCAAGCCCGCCTGACTCCCGTGGAAGGGGGTGCAGCTGCTGCTCCGGACGTGCCCACCTAGACTCTGGAGCCGGGGGAGCCGGGCGTGTGGCCCGGGGTGGGGTGCTCACCCTGTCTGGGCTGTTTCCTGGTGTGTCCGTGGACGCGGTCCTCCAGCTGCAGTGTGGTGGCAGTGAGCTGCGGTGTGTGTGGGGACCCTGGTCTGGCCCTGAGAGTGCCGCGCAGGCAGGAAATTAGCTTTCTCGCCGACGGGACTTTGTTGTCTTTCCTCACTTGGATAACACTGACACTGGAAGACGCAGGAGTAGCCTGCACGTCCGTTCTGGGGTCACAGGAAGGCATCTGGCCAGTGACAAGGGCAGTGGCCGGGTGCGTATCTTGCAGGCCTGTCTCTGCCGTGTGAGGCTGGCATGTCGGGGTCCCTGTGTGCTGGGCCTCTGGCAGCTGAACCTGCAGCTGTGAGCCCCTCCGGACGCTC